TGACAGTAAGCTGCACAGCAGTGTGAGGTGGATGAATGGGCCAGTCATTAGTCACCAAGTATGCCTCTGCATACAGTACGATCCAAAATAGGACAAGAAACAAGAAGCCTAAGAGATAGCAAGACTGGAGAACAGGGTCACCAGCTTCTGACTCGCTAAGTGTGTGCCCTGGAAACACACTGGCTCTGTCCTTTCCACTCCCTGTGGACTCCCTCTGTACCCCACAGAGTCTTCCTCTGAAATGCCTCTCATCTGGATCGTCTGGTCTCCATCGTTCCTGCTCTCTGTGGCAGGGGAGACAAATGTGTTCTGCATGAAGGTGACCCCAAGATGAGGGCACCGAAGCCCTCCCTACATCCCACTCTGGATTAAATGTGCTGCTTCTCATGAATAGATAACACCAACAGGGATGCTAAATGATCTTTTCCCTTTCATTTTGAAATAAGACTTTTTCCCTTAATGTTCTTTTTATATTGTCCTTTCTCATGTCTCAGAAAATTACTCCTTTTGAAGATCATTAGCCCGATAAAGTCTGATGAATATTTTAGGGGACTTTGGAGGGTAAACCGAAGAGGTCCAGGCAGATCACTGAAAAGTCTCGTTAGACTCAGTGAGAAGCCCTGACTCCATTTCTATTCCTTTCTTGCTTAAGGTCTTAGACCAGACCATGGCTGGGGGCGGAGTTCTTCAGTTGGACCTGTGACCGGGGAGGGATGAGCTGGCTTGTAGGGGGAGAAAAGCAAGATCTGAAGACCGAGTGTAGGGCTGAGGGAGGATTGGGGGAACCAAGGAGAATATTTAACACAACTCCCAATCTAAGGAGGCCCACTGTGCCCTGAACTTGGAGTTTCCAGTTAAGGATAACCAGACATCAGGGGAAGCCTGGAACATGGTTTACATCCTGGAGATGTTCCCAGAGGCATCTGGAAGGCTGTGGTCAGGCCCTGGGGGACAGTGAGGTGCCTCTGACCATTCCCCATGCTCTGAAATTGTACACAGAACATCAAAAGCCAGCCAGGCAGCATGCGAGGGATCGTCTGTCTTGGCTTCCATCACTACGCTCATAGCAGTGGGCACCTTCTCCACGTGACTAGCAGGGCGACTCTGTGTTCCAGCTGATTCTAAAGGTGCCCCATGTCTGTCAAAGGTGGACAGAGAATGGCCCTCTGGCTGTCTTTACTTCATGGCACTTTGTACTTTTGTAAGACAAGACAAAAAATTCCAAGGAAAAAATAATAATGTATCTCAACAGCAGCTGTAACCCCTTTCAATCTTACAGTTACTTCCTAGGCATTCTTCCTTCAGCTTTGCTGAATTATGTTCCAGTGATGAGAAATTTCTAGTGTTCCCCATAAACCAGTGACCCCTGCACACGGCACTGAACTTCTTGGGGAGAAGGGTCCATTCTCATTAGCATATCCAAGGCTCCCAGCAGCCTCTAAGTATATTCCTGTAATAACTTTCAAACTTGCTGGAAGATAGAGCAATTTTATTTATAGCATTCCTATAACCATCCTATGAGGAAATAACAGTTGGGAAAGGTCTATATGGATCACAGTGTATAACAGTTTGAAGGCTTGCATGGATTCTTTAACACCAGCTTTAAAATGCATTCAAAAACTTCATGTGAAAGGGCTGTGCAATATGGATAAGCTGCAAAATACTTGCGACTCCCTTATTACCAGATAATAATTATCTATCAGCTATTACAAATAATCAAATGCTACTGTATTAAATTTCTTATTCATGAATCTATTTGAATTTCTGATTATAATCTGGAAATGGAATTACTGGGGCTTGAGCCTTTTGATACAGATTGTCACTGTTTTTCTACAAAATATTGTGCTTGTTTATACTCCTACTCACAGACTATGAGAGCACTCATGAATTTACTCTTGCCATAGTAAGCACTAAAGACAAAGAAATGAACCCAGTACTAGAAGTTTGAAAGGGGATGTATTTTGATTTCAGTTTAATATGAATTGCAAAAGATGGCAAGATTTAGATTCTACGAAATCAAAAGGCAGGGTGTTCTGGGTGTGAGGAGCAGCCTGAGCCAAGACTCAGAGGTGGAGAACTGCCTCATGAGCTCCTGATCAGCATCCCACAGCACTTTAGTTCACACTGAGCTTATGCCTTAGACTTCTGCCACAAAATAACTTATGTCAGCAGCTAAAGGAAATGCCTAATTAGGGTTTCATAAATGTAGTTCTGTGGTTAGAATGAGACCTGCACTGACCCTCTGCTAGAATCGGAGGGACAAACTGTAAATGAAAAATGATCAGGCCAGGAGGCAGCAAAAATAAATGTGTCAATGTATAGTTCAACCAAGACAGGAGGAAACTGGACAAAGTGACCTTTCCTGGGGGAAGAGAAGAACTTTAATTCCTATGTGCTTGTGAATCACTGGTGACCCCAACTGGCACCAAGCATGTCTCAGGCCAACCCCTGAGATGATACTGAAGGCCTTATCCAGGCCAAAGACGCTTTGCTCTTTGCACACTTATAAATGTGTTTCTATGTTAAGCAGCTGTAGCTGCTCTTTATCTGGTGAGTGAGTCAGAGGACAGAGATCCAAAAACCATTTTGGGGAAAGGTACCAAAGACAATGCCAAAGGAGGTGTGAATTAGGAGTCGACTGGCATTCCAAGGTGAGCTGGGGCCAGGGAACCCTTTCATGGGCTGAAGCGAAAACCAGATGAAAAGTTATCTACATAGCTGCTGACAGCTTGATCCAAATGCCATAGAAAAAGTCTAACTGGAAGCTCCAATTTGGATTCTCTGACAGTGAAATATATTTCAATGCAGCTACTAACACAAGATCATTCACCTACCAACTACTATGTATCAGTTACTATCTCTGCTAGGGACTTCAAGAAATACTGAGCTTCTGAGATATGTCCTTTGCCTTCAAGGTGTTCAGTCTGATGTGGGGGCATGGTATACTAATTCTACAAAATATTCAATTATAATAGGAACTGACATAGGTGTTGTAGCCTAGGTGCAGGACCCCAGGCAGGGGAGAGATTCATTCTAGCTGGCATGAGGTAGAATTTAGGGTGAATACCGAAGGACTGTTGAGATTTCATTAGGAATAGATGATGAAGAATAACTTCCAAGCCGTCAAAGCAGCTACCTCTCATTCCTTTATTCATGTGTTAAAGGTACCAGGTTTATGGGAAGTCATCCAGACATTCATCCTGCAGACATTAACTATTGCATTTAGACAACAATAGCGAACAGAAACCTGCCTGTCTGGAGCTTCCAGTCTAGTTGTGGTGCCAATAAAACTGTGTGTAACACAGTATGACTCACAGCTGCCACAGGCTTGTCAAGATGTCAGGTTAACCTTGCAGAGGAGAAAGGGATGCCTGCTGCAGTTGAAAGGAGAGAAGGAGCAAAGACCTGGAGCTGAGGAGGGCGGTGAGGAGGGGTTTGGGAAAGGTGAGGAGGATGCGATAAAGCTGCAAGGTTAGCTTTGGAACTGAGGACAGAGGACTTAGGTTG